CCCTGGTGGGAGGGTAGTTGGCATACAATATAAGGAAGGAAAAAAGGCCTGCTTCTTTTCCTTTGTGCTCTTGCTGCTTTTTCTGTCTTCTGCCACCTTGAACTATTGCCCCTCACCACGCCACCCTGCCTTGTAGCCAGCTGATTACAGACTGAAGCCTCCACAACTATAAGTTAAATAAACCTTTCCTTCCTTAATTTGAGGTACCTGTTATTTTGTTTCAGCAACAAGAAAAATAACCAAGACAGTTCTCCACAAACCAAGATGTTCCACTCACAGAATCTTTCATACTGCATTCTACCCTGGAGGACTTCCACCCCATATCAATGTTCCAACTTCAGAGTCTTGTGCACAAGTCGCTCCAAACAGCATGGGGTCGCACTCTCACTCTCTCCTTCTCCTCCTCCTCCTCATCCTCCTCCTCCTCTTCCTCCTCTTTTTCCTCCTCTTCCTCCTCCTTCTCTTCCTTCTTCTCTTTTAATGTATTTAGTACAGGGTCTACAGGGTCTCCCTACACAGATTGTACTCATAGTGATTCTCCTGTTTTCAGCCTCCCAAGAGCTGGGATTACAGGCGCACACCACCATGCCCAGTCTCAATCCCCATCTCAGCACCCCAAGTCCGCATAGCACGCCAGGGATCGAACCTCGGTCTCTGTGTCTGCCTAAGCAGGCACTTTAATCCACTGAGCTATCTTCTCACTCACTTCTATTTCTTCACTTTTTATTTATCAATTAAAAAGTATACAAATATTTTTAAAATATAAGGTAAACATAGATTAAGTAGAAAATTATTCAGATACAGTAGTCTAGCATTAACTCAACCAAACAGCCTAACACTACATTAATTTGGTACTATTTGATATGTACTTCAAAGTATACAAGCTCACTGTCTCACCTCTGTCCCAGATTGCCTTTGAACAGTTTTGGCTCCGTCTGTGTAGCAAGAACATGGGTACATGTTCCATGTGCACCAAGTGATCTGAATCTATGGCTTTCCAAGGTGAGGATTCCCAAATCAGGCAGCAGAAATGGCATAAAAGTGATCACATAATGAGATAAAAGATAGTTCTATGGGCTGGGGATATAGTTCAGTGGCATATATGCCTGCGTAGCAAGTGCAAGGTCCTGAGTTCAATCCCCAGTTTGGGGGGCGGGGGAGAAGAAGACAGTTCTATAACAACAAGGAATGATTTTTTTTTTTCGTAACCGGGGATTGAACTCAGGTCCTTGCACTTGCCAGGGAAGCGCTTATTCCACTGAGCCATCTCCCCAGCCTGAAAGAATGACTCTTAATGCATATTTCACTAACAAAACACACAACTACATAAGGCGAAATTATGAAATTGAAGAGGAAATCATAGATCCACAAATATTACTAAAAATTTCAAGGCCTGGGAGATGGCTCAGTAGAATAAGCACTTCTCTGGCAAGTGCAGGGGCCTGAGTTCAAACCCTGTTCCCACAAAAAAATAAAAATAAATAAAATAAATAAAAATAAAAATTTCTAAACAAATTTCTAAATAAATTTCTCCCTCAACAATTGACAGCTAATGGTAGAAAAATCTGTAACGGAATAGTTAAAATCAGCAAACATCATGCCTCAAGTCTCATTCTATATAGCTAGGTGCTTCATGCTCATGGTCTGCTATACAGAAAGGTGTTCAACCCTCCTGACTACACACAGCACATTCTTCCCCAGAGAAAGGTTTTCTCCCTCATAGCCTTTCACACCAACCCAGTCTTAAGCCAGCAAGGCGTTCCACTTTCACGGTCTTCCACACAGCAATGTCTTTTACCCTCATGATCTTCCACATAGCAAGGATTTTGCACTCCCAATAATCCACACAGCATGGAGCTCCACTCTGAGTCTTCCACATGAGAAGGTGCTTAGCTCTGTCTTCCACACGGCACACTGTCTCACCCTCACAGTCTTCCACAAATTATAGTCTTCTACCCAGCACACCCTACACACGACACAGTATTCCACCCTCAGTCTTTCACCTTCACTTTCTTCCACACAGCATACTCCATCCTCATGGTTTTATTGTTGTTGTTGTTGTTTTGGATGGGGGCTCACTATGTAGTTCAGGCTACCATGAACTCATTGTGTAATCCGGGCCAGCCTCACATTCACAGCCGTCCTCCCGCTTCAGCTTCTCAAGTGCTGGCTTTGCAGGGGTGTGCCACTCTCATGGTCTTCCATACAGCACTGTTCCCCCCACAGCCTTCCACACAGCAAGGCATTTTACCTTTCCACAGTGGCCTCCCGCTCTTGGAACTTTACAGACAGCACTCTTCTGCCCTCACAGTATTTTCTCCACTGCACATCTGTCCAAGGAGCTCATGTCTCACCCATGTCCAAGATTGCCTTTGAACAGTTTTGGCTCCATCTGTGTAGCAAGACCGTGGGACTGGGTACCTGCCCCATATGTGTCAAGTGATGTGAATCAGTGTTGAATCTCTGGTTTTCCAAGGCCAGAATTCCCAGATCTAGGGATCAGGCAACAGAAATGACAATGTTTTCTTGATTGTTATCACTCCTAATAGTCTGTTAGTGAATTTTTTGCTTCCTATTCCTGTAAGCCTGTACTCCAGAGGTTCTAAACTCTGAGACACCTGCTGCAGCACAGACCACCTCTAGAATAAAGGTTGGGTCACCCCACTGGTAAAGAATTGCAGTGGGGCCACTGTGGTGCTGGCTGAGGGCCAGGAGGTACAATGCTTCGTAGAGGAGGGCTGTGGTGAACGCAGTTGCAGCCTGTGACTGCAGGCTGACAATGACAGTCTCTTGCTGACCCTCCTGGGCTAATCAATCCTTTCCCCTTTCCTATGCCCCCAACCTAAAGTAAATGTCCTCCCAACAGCTAGTGTGTATCACTGTTTGTGCTGACTCCCAAACACTCTCAAGGAGAAAAGACAGCTACAGGAGTACCACCCAAAGGTGGGTAAAAGTGACTCTAGACTAAATTCTGAAAACACACCTGGGGCCAGCAAGATAGCTCAGTGGATTAAGCGTCTGCTTTGGCAAGTGCAGGGACCAGGGTTCAATCTCTGGTCCTGCATGCCACTCCGGCCCTACCCCCAGGGCATGCTGAGCTGGTGACCGAGTCCAGGTGTGGTAGTGCAAGCCTGTAATCCCAGCACTCCGGAGGCTGCAAACAGAAGGATCGCCGCAAGTCCAAACTGCTTAGTGAGACCCTGTATCAAATACATAAAATGAAAAGAAGGAGGAGGAGGAGGAAGAGGAGGAGGAGGAGGAGACACCTGGTGTTGGATGAGAGAGTTACATCATATAGAAGAAAGCCTGGTTTTCCTTTTAACATTTGACAGTTAAACATGGTTTAAAAACAAGAGTGCATGAGTGTTGCCAGGACACAGCCCTGGGGATTATTCTATTGCCCCTGTGGCCGGGTAGAGACCCTTCCATCTGCGGTGGGAGCTGGACAAATCTTGCAATCATTACTCTCCAAAAGGCCATCCCAGCTGACTGTAACAGAAGGCAGAGGGGTATGCAGGCTTCCTCCCACAACCCCACCTCCAGCCTTTTATCTCACCTGCCAGAAGAACACAACAAATCCCTCAGCTGGTGACCCTTGAAGGCCACAGGGCCCAGAACATTTCTCTCCTAGGACCTGCTTGCAAATGTTTGCTTCTGAACACTGAAACATTTGCTGTCCGATCAGACATCACCACAGGAAGAGTAGCTGTCCTGCACCATCACCCCATCTCCTCTGCACCCACAAGTACTATGTGGTCACTTGTCTATCCCTCCCCGAGCAAACCTGAACTCCATGAAAGGAAGGCCCTCTTGTGCCTTGTCCACAGCTGTGTCCTACTGGCTGTGGCCCATGAAAAGCTAGGTAATGTCTCAGCCAAATTCTGTTACATCTGGGGTCCCCATTGCCACACAGAAGTATCAAAGTACATTTCACAAACATGAAGACACCCTAACTTCAGAAAGGGGAGTGTTTTGATGAAAGTAGAACAGGTGATGGGTGGGAAAAGTCTAAAGGTAAGAGCACAGCAGCAAGTGACCAACTCGACTTTGTGTCCCAAATGAGGTCAGTGGGGTTGGTGGGGCAGTGTCAGTACAAAAAGGAGCCTCTCGGAAAACTTCCCAGTACCAGGTGAGGCCATGCCTCCTTGCCCCCAAACCTGGGTTACTTGTGACAGCCTAGGAAAGACATAGGCATCACCCGTCCCCAAGACCAAGGTCACCCTGCTATCCTATCCCCACCAAGGTACACTAACTCCAGAGTGTGGAGCCTTCAAATAACTAGGGCCCAGAGTCCCATATCCCTGTCCTAACACCAGAGCCAAGACACCGTGGAGAGAACCCGGGCTCTGTGCTCCACCCGCATGGAACCTGTGGAAGAGCTAAACCTTGAGGTGGCAGAGACACAGACACGGAGACAGACTGGGGCGGGGGGGGGGGGGGGGGACGGGACAGCAGGCTGGCAGCCGGCTGAAGTGGGCAGTGCAGTAGCCAGCTGAGAGCGAGTCATGTCCACACCTCCAGTCCGGCAGGTCACAGTCAAGTCCAGCAGGTGAGGGCAGCTGAGCCCTCCTGCCCACTCCTCACGCCCCATGGTCGAGGCCCTGAGTCACAGCCTTCTGCTGCCCCGACTCCGGCTCTCCTGGGGCGTCCTCCGCCTGGCTTGCACCCGCCCATCCTGACCCCTCTGGCTCCACCTGCCCCAAGTGCACATGCCCTACTTTGCCCTACTCTTTCTGGCCTGTTTCCAGGTTTCCTGAGACCCCAGAGCAGGGTGGCAGCCTCCCTCCGTCATCGCGAGGCTCCAGGCCCAGATCGCTTGTTGTCACCGTCCGTCCGATTCCCGGACCCCCATTAGAGAGTCCCTAGGGCCCAGGTGGCTACTGCGTCGGGGGCGGGGTCCCCGAAAGCCCCTCCCCCGCCTCCCATTGGCCCCGCTGGCGCCAGCCACGCCCTATAGGCCGAGCGGCCGCGCTGTGAGCAGCTGCACGGCGCGTGCCGCTCGGTCCCGCCGCGGCCCAGGCGCTAGCAGCGGGCGCCCGGGAGGGGCGACCGGGCGGGGGCGCCGAGGAGACGCTCCCGCTGCCCACCGGGGCTGCGGCGGGACGCAGGGTCGCGGCGGTGGCTGGCACGACGGACAAAGGGCCTTGCGGGGCCGAAGGCGCTGAGCGCGGCGGGGATGTGGCGACGGTCCTGAGCGCGGCGCGATGCCGTGGTTCCCAGTGAAGAAGGTCCGCAAGCGGATGAAGCTGCTGCTGCTGCTGCTCCTGCTCACCTGCGCGGCGTGGCTCACCTACGTGCACCTGAGCCTGGCACGCCAGGGCCGCGCGATGCGCCAGCGGCAAGGCCACGCGCGAGGTAGGGGGAAGGGCACGGCTGGACCCGGGCGGGCACGAGGTGTGGGCCTGAGCAGACCCTGCCCGCCTGACTTTGGCGGGCCTCAGTCCCGGAGATGGGTAGGGGGCGCAGCCACCGAGGTCTCAGCACAGCCAGATGCTTCGCGCGGGCCCGGGTACCCGGTGAGCGGCCAGTGCTGTCCGTGCCGGCGCACACCCTAGAGGGGCCCCACAAACAAAGCAACCCTTGTGGGCAAAAGCCGGGAGGCTCTGAAACGCCGACCTTTGACACACACTTTTGGGCGGAGCTTGCAGGAGGCCTTGCCTGGTGAAAAGGCAGACAGGGAAGCAGGTGTCCTGAGAGTGTGAGGACAGGCCACCAGCATTGATCCTCCGGAGAACACCCGCGTAGGGCCGGAGCCCGGTGCTGTACTCCTGCTCCTCCTGATGTGCCCACACACTTGGCTCCCAGATTGCCAGACTCTTCCCTAGTGCTTACATCTCAGGGCTGCCACACATTCCAGAGACCCTGGCCCTGGGCCACCCCTAAAAGCAGCCCCTACCACCCCAGCTGTCATCAGCATCCTAAGTTGGGAGCATCAGTCACTGCTATTTTCCCTGCAGTCACAGGCCTCCCCATGAACAAAGAGACTGAGTCTAGCAGGAGAGGGTGGAGACACAGGAGCCTACTTCCAGAGCGTGGACCCCTCAACTCTCACTTGGAACAGCAGAGAAGCTGGTCACTGGTCCTGGCTCCTTAGCCAGCAGGTGCTGTTCTAGGTCCTAGAAAGTCACAGCTGCCAAGGGCCAGGCCCAGAGCAGGCACCAGTCCCACATGCTGGGCTCTGAGTTGGGATGGGCACCAGCCTTACACACAGACCAAGCTGCCAAGCCACTGAGCAGCTGAACAGGCCCAAAGCCTACCCATCTGTCAGGATGGAGTCCAGCAGCCTGTGCAAGCAGAGCTCCCCACAGGAAGGCAGAGCAGAGCCTTACTAGGACCCTGCTGCTGAGGCCCCATCACCCCTGATGCCTGGACTTAGCATGGGTTATGGGCATCTGGCCAGTCTGTGGGGTTGTGTGCAGGGCGAGTGACGGAAGGACCTAGGGTCTCAAAGGCCAGAAGGCCCTAGGTAGCCCCTATCCCCAGAGAAGAGCCCCTGGCCAATTTATTCTTAGCTGGGCCTGTGCAGGATTCTCACTCCTGAGGTCTGTGGAAGGACAGGCAGGCATGCAAGGCTTGGCCTAGAAGCACAAGGGCTCCTGGGTGAGAGCACCAGGGGGGACAGAGATGGGATAAAATGAAGCCTCCCCTTTCAGATGCTCACATCCAAAGGCATGGACACCTCCAGGCACACAGTAGCACGCTGAAGTTCATAGTTTAGGGAAGATACCTAGGAGGGGTTCTTGGAGAGAAGGCTGGCTATGGAGGTGAACAGAGAATAGTCTTGCTTCAGAGCTACCTGGGTGCCAGGTCCTCTAACAGGCAGGACTGTATGCCCTTCTCTCCTCTGCCCAGGCTGGTCCAGGTGGCACAGGTGCCATGAACCAGGCCTAGCTTAATCCATGGTGACAGTGCTGGCCATCCTGACCACCAGGATACTTACTGTGCTAATCCCAAATTCTCAAATCTAGTGAGGAAGGCAGAACACGAGAAAGGTGCTTCAGGTAACAGACAGTCCTGAGTTCTTCCTGAGGTGGAGCTACTGGGTGAGGACTCCCAGGGGACTATTCATGTGCATACAGATACATACTGGCATGTCTGTATGTATACATCAATCCACACTAACCTGTTGCATATGCACACAGATGTATGCTGGCCTGTTGCACATGCATGCTACCCTGTTACATGTGCACACACTTGCACACAGGTCTATTGCATCTGCACACAGGTATAAACTGGCCTGTTGTATGGATACATGCTGACCTGTGACAAGTGCACATGGATACACACTGGCCTGTTTCCTGTGCATACAAGTACACTCTGGCCTGTGATGTACACGCAGTCTGTTTGTGCACAGCTCTGCACCCCTGCACCAGCTAGAGGGTGGGAAGTGCTAGTGGAGGCTCCTGCCCAGGCTGTCCTGAGGTGGATTGTAGGTGGACCAAAGTAAACAGGGGCCAGGTGAGGGTAGGGCATCATGTGCCATGAAGGAGCAGACATGGCACGCAGGAGACAGCACAGCCTTCCTGCCTGCTCTGGCCGTGTGGAAGGGGATTCCTGCTCCAACTGAAGACACCAAGCAGGGATCCTAGCTCAGAGAGGTTCTGTGCCACATACACCTCACATGCCCCCTACAGATGGTGAGAAGCTGACCAGTGTGACAGATGCTCGGGGTGTCCGGGTGGTACCATCCATGCAGAGGGTGGCAGACTCCAGTGAGAGTCGTGAGGAGGAACAGGCGGTGAGTAGAGGCCATGAGAGAAGCTGGTGTGTGCACAAAGCCACTTGTGTGGACATAATCCAGTGTGGAGGTTCAAGTCACTGGTGTGTCATTGGGTGGCCACATGTCTGCTAGGCAGGTATGACACAGCCTTGGGTATGGGGGGTACTAGGGCCACATGGCCAGATGTGTGACAGGGGTTGGAAAGCTATCTCTGGTGCCTGGGCAGAAGCCGGGGAGATGGCTCAGTGGAATAAGCGCTTCCCTGGCAAGCGCAAGGGCCTGAGTTTAATCCCCGGTTCTGCAAAAAAAAAAAAAAGAACCGCCCTTCTGGTGCCTGGGCAAAGTGTGTGTGGCTGGAGGACCCCTCCCTGCCCTCTCTGTCCTGTAGCCTGAAGGTCAGGATGCAGATGAGCAGTTTCCTGTGGGGGTGAGAAAGCCAGCCCCGCTGAACCTCACCCATCAGGTGCCCACATGGCGGGAGGAGGTGAGCTCCATGGGCCTGGAAGGGCTGGGAGGTAGGGCCAGCTGTGCTGTGGCTGAAGCCCTTCTACCTGCAGTACAAGGGACAAGTGAACCTGCACGTGTTTGAGGACTGGTGTGGGGGCGCCGTGGGCCACCTGAGAAGGAACCTGCACTTCCCACTGTTCCCCCACGTGAGTGCTCACTTCTCACTGTTCCCCCATGTGAGTGCTCTTGGGCAGTAGATGGTAGGTGGACAGAGCTGTGCAGTATTGCTGACCAGCACTCCCTGCCCCTAGACCCGCACCACTGTGAAGAAGCTGGCTGTGTCCCCCAGGTGGAAGAACTACGGGCTCCGGATCTTTGGCTACATCCACCCGACAAGAGATGGTGTGAGGTCCGGTGTGGGTGTGGGGGGTGGGGGACAAGCTTGGCCCTGATCTTGGCCTATGGATTAGGAGATGTCCAGTTCTCGGTGGCTTCAGATGACAACTCTGAGTTCTGGCTGAGCCCAGATGAGAGCCCAGCAGCTGCCCAGCTTGTGGCCTTCGTGGGCAAGGTACCTGTCCACCCCAGGCCCTGCCCTCCCTGGGTGCCCCCAGGAGGAGGTGTACACCACAACCCTGCTGTGTCACCCCCAGACTGGCTCCGAGTGGACAGCACCTGGAGAATTCACCAAGTTCAGCTCCCAGGTGTCCAAGCCCAGACGGTGAGTGACCACAGGAGGTACAAGCATACATGTGTTGGTGTGATTGGGGTGTTGTCTTGGTTACTCTTCTCTGTTGCTGGGACAAAATACCTGACACCCAAAATTAAGGAAGAAAAGGTTTATTTAGCTCACAGTTAGTGGAGGTTTCAGTCCATACTGTGCTGGTTCCAAGGCAGAGTACACAGGCAAAGAGCAGCTGTTCATGGTGGTGGAAAACAACAAAGAGTAAAGGGGAAAGGGAGGAGCAGTGGCAGTGGTGGCAGCAGTGGCAGCGGTGGCAGCAGTGGCAGAGGCCAGCCTCTCTCCCCTCCTTACATTGTAATGCAGATTACCCACCCCAGGGCAGGGATAGCACTCACACCCATAATCCCCGCATTGGACCAAGAATTAATCACAAACTGTAGAAGCTGCCCCATGACTGCATGAAGCTTTGGGGGAACAACTAGACACAAACCATAACAGGTGTGTATAAGTATTCATGTATGTATGCATACATGTGTTGGTCTATGTGTGACTGAGTGTATATAAGCATTTGTGTGCATGCACACTTGTTGGTATATATGAGTAACTGGGTTATGTACAAGCATTCATACATGTGTGTTCATATGTATTGGTATGTGAGTGATGGGTGTGTATAAACATTCATGCGTATGCACAATGTAAGTATTGGTATGTGTGAATGAGGTATGTACATGTTGCTTGTGTGATGTATACATTCATGTGTGTATGCATGTGTGTGTTGGTGTATGACTGATGTATAGACAAGCACTTGTGTGCACATGTATTGGTCTATATAGCTTGTGTGTGTCCAAGCATTCATGTGTATGTGAGTGACAGGCATGAATAAGGGTTCATGCAAGGGCCAACCAAATAGCTCAGCGAATTGAAGCACCTGCAAGCAGGTGCAGGGGCTGGGGGTTCAATCCCTCGGCCTGCTGTGCCAGCCCCGCCCCCAGGGCATGCTGAGACAGCAGTTGAGACTGGGTGTGGTGGTACACGCCTGTAATTCCAGCTTTTGGGAGGCTGTAAACACACGGATCACTACAAGTCCAATCTAATAGTGAGACCCTCAACACCCTATTGACCCTTCCCTAAAAATACAAAAAATAAAAATAAAAAAGCATTCGTGCATATGCATATGTGTTGGTGTGTGTGACAAGGGTGTGTGTAAAGCACTTGTATGCACATATGTTGGGGTGTATGTGGCTGTGGTATGTATGTAAACATTAACCTGTATGTATATGTGTTGGTGTGTGACTGTGTTGTTTGCACCAGCATATGTGTATGCATGCATGTTGGTATGTTAGTGGTGCTTACAAGCACTTGTTTTCACATACATTGTTGGGTATGGCTGTTGTGTGTGTAAGCACTTATGTGTGCACACTTGGTATGTGAGTGACTGGTATTTGTACACTCAGTGCATGTGGCTGGAGTGTGTATACAAGCATTTATATGTGTGCACCTGTGTGCTGGTATGTGTGAATGACATGTATGCACCAGCATTCATGTGTATATGCACATGTGTGCTGGCCTGTGAGAATGAGGCCAGTGGTATCTCCTCATCCTCTGTACACTACCACACACAGCACCAGCACCATCCTGGCCAGCCCACTGTCCCTGAGGGACAAGACAGAAGGCCTGGGAGTGCTACTCATCCCAGGGCCCTCCATTTGTTCACAGTTCCTGCACAAAAGGACACAGCCCTGCCTTCTCTCCACAGGCTTATGGCCTCCAGGAGGTACTACTTTGAGCTGCTTCACAAGCAGGATGACCGGGGCTCAGACCATGTGGAAGTGGCTGTGAGTGCTGCCCCTCACCTCCCCAACCACTTCCCACCTTGCCCAGGACAGCAGTGGTCCTCTCTCCAAAGGGGCTCCAGGTCTGGGCCTCACCAATGCGTGATGTTCTATCAGGAGGCAGAGGAGTAGAATTGGGAGTGGGAAGTGCAAAGTATTAATTCCAGACCCCAAGGGATCCAGCAGCCAGATACGGGGTACTGGACCAAGCAGACTGTCCTGAGAATGAGCCAGTGGGGTTTGTGATCCAGGAAAACCCATGACAGGAAGAGCCTCTGAAGGAGGATGAGCAGGTTGGAGGTGGGAGGGGTTTTTACAGCAAGACTGAGAGGGCCAGAGATGGCTGGGGTGGAGGTGGGGTCCAGGAACCATAACCAGGATGGGGTAGGGGTGTGCTCAACCCCAGGTCCATAGGAGGTCCCATGGGTAGGCATGTGTGGTGTCACCCAGCTCACTGTGCTGGATATGCACGGTCTGAAGTGATCCTGGGGAAGCCAAGCAGGTTGGAAAGAGAACCCAGGAAGAGCTGGGAACAGAAGGGCGAGAGTCAGCCCAAGGAATCCCCATTTGGGACAGAGAGGGATGGCGTCTTCAAAGGAGATTAGAAGAGCAGCTGAGGATGGGCCAGGCAGAGGCCTGGTATAGGCCCTGGGTTTGACCCCTGTGAGGCCAGCAGTGACCTCAGGGGGCCAATGATGCAAAGCCAGGGAGTAGAAGACCCCTCTTCCCATCTCAGCCTCTTTCCTGTCCCACCCCAGTGGCGCGCTTACCTGCCAGGCCTTAAATTTGAAGTCATCGGCTCTGCGCACATCTCCCTGTACACAGGTGCACAGGGCATGTGGGAGGTGGTGGTTGGGGTGGCTCAGCTGGGTGGGAAGAGGACCTGGCTCAACCTTGCACTATTGGCAGATGAGTCAGCCCTGAAGATGGACCACGTTGCCCATGTGCCCCAATCTCCAGCCAGTCACACTGGGGGCCACCTGCCAGCGGAGGAGCCCAGTGCAGACATGCTACGGCCAGACCCCAGGGACAGCTTCTTCCTTAGTAAGCCTTTGCCCAGGGGCAGAAGGGCGGGCTGTAGCTGCACCAGGCTGACTGGTGACTGCCCCCCCTTCCCATAGCACCCCGGATGGAGCCCTCGAACCTGGAGAGTGTGCTGGAGCCTTGCACCTATGCGCCCACCTATGTTCTCAAGGACTTCCCCATCGCAAGATATCAGGGCCTACAGTTTGTGAGTACCCAGACCAGAGCCCCACACACTCCAGGCACTCTTGCCTCCTTGGAGATCCTGAGCCCTCTCCTTGACCCCAGGTGTACCTGTCCTTTGTGTACCCCAATGACTACACCCGCCTCACTCACATGGAGACAGAAAACAAGTGCTTCTACCGCGAATCTCCCCTGTATCTGGAAAGGTAGGTGAGTGCTCGGGCCTGGGGTGCGGCCTCAGTGGGGCTGACCTCTGAAGTGCTGCTACCCTAGGTTTGGCTTCTACAAATACATGAAGATGGACAGGCGAGAAGGGGAAGAAGAGGAAGAGGAGGAGGTGCAGCGCCGTGCCTTCCTGTTCCTCAACCCGGATGGTGAGCCTACCCCCCCCACCCACCCCCCACCCGCACCTGGGGTGCTCACTCACCCTTGCTGGCCACAGATTTCCTGGATGACGAGGATGAACCACTGGACAGTCTGGACCCCACCAAGGCGGTCACGTCAAGGAACAGACACAGTTCTCGCAGTTCTCCTGTACTGGCGGCCTCCACTGAGCGCAAGGCAGAGCCCCTTGCCTCCCACGCTTCTCCACCGCGCCGCTCTCGTGGGCTGCACTGGGCCTCACACCCCCTGCCCCTCTTGCTGGGCCGCGCGCCACCACCGCACAATGCCAAGTCTCCCGCCAAGGTGTACGTGACTCGCGTGAGGTCCCGACCCCAGGCATCCCCACGCAGCCCAGTCTGGCCACCCCTGGCCAGTGTTCTCCTGCGTGCCCGGGCCCTGCCAAAAGTTCAGCTGCGTGCGCCACGGCCCCAGCGCAGGTTCCACAGGCCTGGGCCTGGGGATACAGAGCCCCGAGTGTCACCCAGCCCAGGGGACCCACAGGCTCACGTACCAGACATGAACTCATCAGCTGCTTTGCAGCCTGTGACCTCCTTCCTGAGCTTATCCCAGATGTCCCGGCCGCAGCTGCCCACAGAGGGCGAGGGCAAGGACAAGGGGGAGGGGGAGGATCGGGCCCCGGGCGATGAGGCAGAATCAGAGGATAGTGAGGAGGACTCAGCGGGCCGTGTGCTGGGGCGCTGGAGAGAGGACGCTATCAACTGGCAGCGGACGTTCAGTGTGGGTGCCGTGGACTTCGAGATGCTGCGCTCAGATTGGAACGACTTGCGCTGCAATGTGTCGGGAAATCTGCAGCTGCCAGAGTCAGAGGCTGTGGACGTGGCAGCCCAGTACATGGAGCGGCTCAATGCGCACCATGGCGGGTAGGACTGTGTCTGGTGGAAAGTGTTATCTCTGTAAGACTTGGGCCTTTCCGGATGCTGCCGCACCCTAAAACCCCACGCGCCACCCTCCAGGTTTCCGTGAACCCCACTCAAGCACTGCTCCCATATCCCTACACCCCTCACCCCCACCCCAAGCCTCCATCTGCCATCATTGACCCCTGGCCTCTCTAGTGTCCCAGGCCCCAGCTTTTCTACTCTGTGTTGGGGGTGGGACTTAATTTGTTACCTGGGGATTTCTCAGAAGCTAGCTATGTTGTAGCCCTTTGAAGGACAGCTGTATAGGCACAAGCCCATTTGGGTCAGGAGGCCACGTGTGACCACCAGGTGGGAGCTGGAGGCCCCTCCCTAGCTGCTGCGGAGGGGAAAAGCCTATCAGTGGCCAGGACCCTTCAGTGACAAGACCAAGGGAGGCCCTGTGCTCCACATGGCTCCAGGGCAAGCCTGCCCTTGTCTCCTGACTCTGTCTTATGGCCAGGCGGGGCTGTCCAGCTAGGTAGTGGTTGCTGTGGCCCCACCTTTGCCCACCTGGGTGCCAAGTTCTGAAGGAACAACCAGATTGTTTGGAGCAGAAAGTCCATGACTTGGGGAGAGTGTGGTGGGAGTGCAGAGTCAGAGGAGGGGAATCTGGACCCCTAGAGGTCACACCAGTGGGCTTCTAGGGCAAACAGCACTGGGCAGGCTGAGGTAGAGGGCAGGTAGGAAAGAGAAAGGGCCCAGATGCCACCACAGCCTCCTACTCCTGGAGCCCTGGATCTTTTGCCCTCCAGGACCAGGTATTGGAGGAGGCCAGAGGAGTAGGAGAGGACCCAGAGACTAAGAGGAGAAACTCGGAAGCTTGAGGCAAGAGGCAGTCAAGGCACCCCAAGACAGAAAACCAACTGCGAAGGGTACCCACGAAGAAAGGACAGTCAGTCCTCACGGTCCCCTAGCGGACCGGGCTGCTGCGCAATCTCTCTGCCCTAGCACACTTCTGGGTTTGGGTGAAACGTAGGAAGTCTGGAGGGTGTGTGCAGCCGCAGCTTGTGTGCCTGCCCCAGCCTCATGAAGCCACTCTGAGCCGTGACTTCTGTCCAAGGAAAGCGGGCTGAGGCATTTGCCTTGACTAGGCTGACCTCCAGTGCTCCCCTCTGCAGGCGCTTTGCACTTCTGCGCATCGTGAATGTCGAGAAGCGCCGCGACTCTGCACGTGGCAGCCGCTTCCTCCTGGAGCTAGAGCTGCAGGAGCGTGGTGGAGGCCGCCTGCGCCTGTCGGAGTTTGTCTTCCTACGCCTGCGCGGTGCGCACACTGGGGGCGAGGAAGGAGAGAGCCCTGAGCCTCCACCCGCCTCCTCTACGCGCCCGGATGGCCGCCCTGAGCTCTGCCGCCCACTCCGCCTAGCCTGGCGCCAGGATGTCACCGTGCACTTCATCGTGCCAGGTGCGCAGGCGGGCAAGCGGCGGGGCTGGTGGGGGCCGAGGTTGCTCAGCCGACCCCTCGCCTTCTACAGTTAAGAACCAGGCACGCTGGGTGGTGCAGTTTCTGGCGGACATGGCCTCACTACATGCACACACTGGGGACTCCCACTTCAGCGTCGTCTTGGTGGACTTCGAGAGCGAGGACATGGACGTGGAGCGTGCCCTGAGCCAGGCACGGCTGCCCAGGTAAAAGCATGCAAGGACTGCAGGGGCTTTCTACCCTGCTGTGAGAACTGTGCCAGTGGCCCTTTGTCCTCCCCAGGTATCAGTACCTGAGAAGAACAGGAAACTTCGAGCGCTCTGCCGGGCTGCAAGCTGGAGTGGATGCTGTGGAGGTCTGAGGACCAGGGAGGCTTGGGTAGCAAAATGGGTTGCAGGGAGGGGTTTCTGAACAGCATAGGCTCAGGTGTTGTGCCTCCAGGACCCCAGCAGCATCGTTTTCCTCTGCGACCTGCACATCCACTTCCCACCCAGCATCCTGGACAGCATCCGAAAGCACTGTGTGGAGGGCACACTGGCCTTCGCCCCGGTGGTCATGCGCCTAGGCTGTGGGAGCTCCCCTCGCAACCCACATGGTAACGCTTGAGCACCCTCAATGCCAAGAGACTAGAGTCCCCAGGGTCCTTCCAAATCCCCCAGCACCCTACAGTCTGCACCGCACCCCTGACCCAGCCCTGGGTTTCTGAGGTTCTTCCTCATCCTTCTCTAAGGTGGGGTGTGGGACACAGGGAGGACTTGTGCTTGCAGGACCTGCATCTGAAAGATACTCACACACATACCAGGTTACTGGGAGGTGAATGGCTTCGGCCTCTTCGGGATCTATAAATCAGACTTCGACCGCGTGGGAGGCATGAACACTGAGGAGTTCCGAGACCAGTGGGGGGGCGAGGACTGGGAACTCCTGGACAGGTGACTGTGCCCCTCCCCAGGCTGAAGAGACACCCTTTCCTCCTTGGATATAAGTATGAGAAAGCAGGGCCATGCGCTCAGGGCCCTGCCCACCTCTCCTCACCTACCCCATCCCAAGAAGCCCTTCCCCCAGGTCCTATAGCCCCTGGGAGAGACTGACATCATCCACCTGTCCCCAGGGTCCTGCAGGCAGGGCTGGAGGTGGAGCGACTACGACTTCGGAACTTCTACCACCACTACCACTCCAAGCGAGGCATGTGGGGCACACACAGCCACAAGGGCACCCATCAGGAGCCAGTCTGAGGGTGACTGGTCACACCAGCCTGGTCCCAGGAGCACAGCCACTGTGTGCCTCCCCCTTGGCCTGCCATGCCCTTGTGGCCTACCCAGAAGCAGCCTTCTCGGTGGACCAGCCAGACTGCCTCAGTCCCACGCTCCAAGATGATTTCTGTGAAATTTTTGGTAGTGATGACATTGTTTTCAGGATTTCCAAGAGTACTGTCTGTTCCGTTTTTTATTCATAATGAAATGAAATATTTTTTTTAGTTCTGACTTGTCCTCTCTGCCTTATTATCTGGGTGGCCCCAGATATTGCCCACTCCCTCTGCAACCCTCCCTGGCCCCACCTCCTAGCCCCTGTCACAGCTTGTACTGGGGGCCCAGACAGCAGTTCCATCAGTGCTGCGCCTCCTCCTACAGGCATGGCCTTGGCTCTTCTTCCTCTTCTAGGGTGGGGCATGGGGACAGGGGTCACTAGGAGCAGAGCACCCAGTTCCAACCAGGGTGATCCTCAGCTCTAGAGGGAAAGACCTCAAACTGTTTTAGGCCATCACTGGAGTGCTGACGGCAAGCGGATCCTGAAGCCAGGCAGTGCTAAGCTGCTGCCCCCATCAGAGTCCTAGTCTTTACTGGCCCGGTCCTAGTGAGAGGCCAATGAGCTCCTAGTGGCTGGGTAACAAGGACCTCGAGCATAGCATTTGACTACACAGGTTCACTTAGGGTTCTTGGAGATTAGTAGTCCTGAAATCACCATTCAGAAGCACTACCTCCTTTGGACAATGGCAGGACCAATGGGCTTGTAACTCATCTTCAAAGCCAGCAGTGTGGCAACTGGGAAGAGATGCTCTGTCTCTCTACTGGTTTCTGTTTATCTTTGTCTCTCTCCTGTCTCTGTATCCATCTGTCTTACTATGTGATCCTAGTCTCTCTGTGTCTGTCTGTCTTAGCCTCTGTCTCTCCTTTGCTTCATCTACTTGTCTCCCTCCTGCTCCTTCTGCAAGGACCCTATTGTCCATGGCCCAGGTGGCACAAGACGAATTCCAGCACAGTATCTCACAAAGTCCCTTCTGCCACCCATGGCAGCAGTAGCAGCTTGGGGGTCAGGACATGAATGTGCTCAGGGTCAGTGAGAAGCAGCACAACACAGTGCCCAGCCACTGCGGAGATGGGCTCAGAAGTCATCCTCAGGTCATAGCTTACCAGGGCACAGGGAAAGGGAAAGGTGGAGCTGGAAGAGGGCCCAATACTCCCATCTGGCCCTGAGAGAATCCTAGTGGCAGGAACAGGGAAGGAGCACTGGCTGCTGCCCTACTGGCAGGACACCAAGTCTCCATGATGTGTGCTCACAAGTCTGCAGGGCACAAGGACCAACATGGCAGGCCCAGCCACGGCCACAGACCATCCAAAGCCCTACATGCCCATGCTACACCTCACCTGAGTACCTAGTTCACAACTGTCCCAACTGAGATATTGCACAACAGGAAAAGAAGTAGCACTGGACTTGAGAATATGTGCTACAAAAGAAAGATAAAAGATGAGAAAACAGGAAGAGTAATGTAAGCAATAGGCTCATACACTTGTCAGAATCGCCTGGAGAGGGCCAGGGAGATAGCCTAGTAGAATAAGCGCTTAGCTGGCAAGCACAAGGTCGTGATTTCAGTCCCCAGTACCGGAAAAAAAAAAAAAAAAAAAAAAAAAGAATCACCTGGAGGCAGGAGGTCACCGGCCAGAGTTCCAGGCAGTGTGCATATCCATGTTGCAAGCTGTCAGTCCCCTTCAGTGACCATCCATTGGGCACCTGTCATGTGCTAGGATGGCTGAAACCACTCTGGACAGATAGCAAATGCAATGTCTGGTGTCAGCAGGTGAAAAGCGCTGCAAAGGAAAACAGTAATTACTAATAAAGTCAGAAAGAGTGACAAGTTCCAGGGGGCTGCCTTTGTGCACAGAGTGGTCCAAGGAGCAAACCTGAGATGACTGCACCTAGGACAGGAGCAAGGTGTCAGAGCTGGCACTGGGGACATTCTAAAAGATCAGTGATGAAAACAATAGAGATAAGTTGGTAAAGACATGGGGCAACACTGAAACCTTTCTAACAGCCACCTTAGTGAATTGAGAAGAATGTTGGAAGCCCAGACAGGAACACAGGAGACAAACTTGGGGGAGAGCAGGCACAATGAGATGGAAAAGAACTAAAGGTGACCTATGAAAAGAGATGGCAGATCACCAATACAGTAGCCAAGACAGGCAAACACAGTGGTGTGCATTTGTAATCAGAAGGCTGAAACAGGATCATTGCAAGTTTGAGGCCAGCAGGACCAGGGAGATGGCTCAGTAGAATAAGCGCTTAAGCACAAGGGTCTGAGTTCAATCCCAGGTTCCACAAAAAAAAAAAAAAAAAAAAAAAAAAAAAAAAAAAAAAAGTTTGAGGCCGGCTCAAGCCCAGCCGGAATTACATAGCAAGATCAAAGAGAAAGAAACAGGAGGAAAAGAGAGGGTAGAAAGAAAGGCAGGCAGCTACAGGAAAGATGGATAGATAGGTAATAGACAGACAGCAGAAAACCCTTTCTGAAGCAGATCGAAGCCAGAATGGTGAGAAACGCCTACCAAGAAGTGAGAGGGGTAGGCCCTGGTGGATGGCCCTGCTTCCTGGGTGGGCTGGGGAGCCCCAGCCAGCTGTGGAACTCAGCAAAACCTCTGCCAGTCCTGGGGCAGAGAGGAGACCAGAGCGTTGTCAGCCCAGCTGCTTAGCTGAGGACCTGAAAGCTCCTGGGAGCGTCCAGTGAAGCTTGCCAATGGAGGGCAGCACAGGGCTCCAAGACACTTCAAGGCCAAGACCCAACAGAGTCTCATCCAGCAGAAGCAGTGGGGGGAGGGGGGAGTGGCCTGGACCCCACGAGCGGACCCCACCCCCACCACACCCCTCTCTGCCACTGCTGACTTGCTCTGTGAGCTCAGGAGACCCCTTTAGCCTGTGGAGCCTTAGTCTCCCTCTGTGAGCTGGAGGTGGCCACGCCTCACCCTCCTGTAGTCACTGCAGGGATTAAGGACACAGGGGGCTGGTATCAGCCTGGAGCAGCCCACTGGTGTGGACTAGTGGAGGCCACACTGCTTTCCACTTCTGTCACCTTCAGCACTGCCCACCCTCAGGCCCCACCCACCTGCCCTTCTTAGCCCAGTGTCGCCCAGGCTCCAGCATCCCTTCTGGTCGTACTTTCCTCCTTGAAGCCTCTGTGCCCACCAGATCGTGGGCAGGCAGAGGGTAGTGCTGGGGAACACAGGACCAGCTCAGGGCACTGGAGACATTCTAAAAGATCAGTGCTTAAAAACAATGAACTGGTCCGCCCCATAAGCCTAAGTTCTCGCGTGAGTTATACTTCCACCCTTTTGGCTCTCTGAGCAGCACCATGGCAGTAGGCAAGAACAAGCGCCTTACGAAAGGCGGCAAAAAAGGAGCCAAGAAGAAAGTGACTGATCCATTTTCTAAAAAAGACTGGTATGGGGGCTGGTGAGATGGCTCAGTGGTCTAAAGCACCTACTTAGAACAAGCTAAGCTAAACAAAGCACAAGGACCACGGTTCAATCCCCCAGCACCACATGCCAGCCAGCCCCGCCCCCTGGTGGGCTGAGCTAGCCACACACACACACACACACACACACACACACACAAATAAATTTAAAAAATAAAAATAAATAAAAATAAAAATTAAAAAGACTGGTATGATGTGAAGGCGCCGGCTATGTTCAACATAAGAAATATTGGAAAAACACTCCTCACCAGAACCCAAGGAACCAAAATTGCATCTGATGGGCTCAAAGGTCGTGTGTTTGAAGTGAGCCTTGCTGACCTGCAGAATGATGAAGTTGCCTTTAGAAAATTCAAGCTAATTACTGAAGATGTTCAGGGCAAAAACTGCCTGACTACCTTCCATGGCATGGACCTCACCAGGGACAAAATGTGTTCCATGGTCAAAAAATGGCAGGCCATGATCGAAGCTCATGTTGATGTCAAGACTACTGGTGGTTATTTGCTTCAACTGTTCTGTGTTGGCTTTACTAAAAAACGCAACAATCAGATACGGAAGACCTCTTACGCTCAGCACCAGCAGGCCCGCCAGGTCCGGAAGAAGATGATGGAAATCATGACCCGGGAGGTGCAGACAAATGACTTGAAGGAAGTGGTCAATAAACTGATTCCAGACAATATTGGGAAAGACATAGAAAAGGCTTGCCAGTCTATCTACCCTCTTCATGATGTCTTCGTCAGAAAAGTAAAAGTGCTGAAGAAGCCCAAGTTTGAATTGGGAAAACTCATGGAGCTTCATGGTGAAGGTAGCAGCTCTGGAAAGGCTACTGGAGATGAGACTGGAGCTAAAGCTGAACGAGCTGATGGATATGAACCACCAGTGCAAGAATCCAATTAAGATCCAGATTTTTAATAGTGATAAATAAAGTCCTATTTGTTTTTTTTTTGTTTGTTTGTTTTAATATTTAATTATTTATTTGTTTACTTATTTAGTGTGTGGCCAGCTCAGCCCACCAGGGGGCGGGCGGGCGGGCTGGCATGTGGTGCTGGGGGATTGAACCGCGGTCTCTGTGCTTTGCTTGAGCTTAGCTTGTTCTAAGTAGGTGCTTTAGACCACTGAGCCATCTCACCAGCCCCTAAAGTCCTATTTGTGAAAAAGAAAAAAAAAACAACAACAACTGGTGAAGAGGCCCAGGACACAGCCAGAGTCCACTTGGAGCTAGCAGGGACCCCACGCCTCAGATACATTATTGCCCAGAACACTGGGCTGGGGGACATCTGGTGGGCTCCATAGGGGAGGTGGCAGGGCTGGATCCAGCAGAGACCAGACAGAGCCTTTGGCCCCACACCCCCGTCCCATTCATCAGTCCATCAGTTCTCCCAAAATAAAAGATCCAATGCAAACATGGGCAAGTGAATGGCATGGTGGTGCATGCCTGTAATCTCAGTACTCTGGAGGCTGAGACAGGAGGACCTCGTGCATTTGAAGGAAACCTGGATTACATAGTTAGTTTAAGCCAGTTTGAATTACAGAGTAATACCTTGTCTTAAAAGAAAAAAGTTTCAGTGCAATAAGCACTTCACTGGCAAGTGCAAGGGCTTGAGTTCAATCCCCAGTTCCAAAGGAAAAAAAGGGGGGGGGGGCAAGTGAAATGGATACTCAGCAAAAGTACAAATGGCCATACCCAGTAAGTACATGAAGAAGTG